GGCACTAGTCGACCTAGGAGGGGAAGGAGAAAAAAGTGTCCTTTATGACCCTCTGACAAATTATTATAGACCTCAAAGGATGTCTGTTAAACATCCAAGAAGGTTAGTTCCACCATTCTGGCATTTTTAATTACTGTGTGTCTTGCAGATAAATCTTGGGTAATGACCAGTTGGTCTCAAATAAACCTTATCTAGAGATATTTTTCTTGATCTGTTATGTATAATTTGTCAGTAGATTGTAGGAATAATATGGTTCCCTCTGGTTTTTGTGACTAGCTAGGCATTGTTTCTGAGATGCTTTTACTTTTTATAAAAATATTTTTATTTTGCCAGGCGTGGTGGTGCACGCCTTTAATCCCAGTACTCAGGAGGCAGAGGCAGGTGGATCTCTGTGAGTTCGGGGCCAGCCTGGTCTATACAGTTCCAGGCCAGCTGGGGCTATAGGGAGACCCTATCTCAAAAAAGACCAAAAATTTTAAAAAATTTTATGTGTATGAATGTATTGTCTGCATGTATGTAAGTGCACCCATGTCATGCAGTCCCCAAGGAGGTCAAAGGGCACCAGATTCCCCTGGAATTGGAGTTAATGATAATTGTTAGCTGCCATGTGGGTGCTGGGACTTGAACCCGGATCCTCTGCAAGAGCAACCAGTATTCTTTACCCACTGAACCATCTCTCCAGAGATTCTGCCGGGTGTGATGGCGCACACCTTTAATTCCAGCACTGGGAAGGCAGAGGCAGGAGGATCTCTGTGAGTTTGAGGCCAGCCTGGTCTACATAGTGAGTTCCAGGACAGCTGGGGCTACAGGGAGGCCCTGTCTCAAAAAAGACCAAAACACAAAAAAGAATCAATAAAAAAAATTTTTTTTTGGTCTTTTTTGAGACAGGGTCTCCTTTAAAGGTGTGTGCCACCATGCCCAGCTTGATTCTCCTTATTTTTGTTTTGTATGGTACATGTGCATGTGTGTGTGCAGACACGAAGGCCACAGGTGTCCTGTCCATTGCTCTCTACCTTGTTCCCTTTAGACAGGGTCTCATTAAACCTGAAGCTGGGCTGGTGGTCAGCAAGCCCCAGCCATGCTCCTGTCTCTCCTCCACCTCTCCACACTAGGGTTGCAGGAGTGGGTGAGTAGCCACACCTGGCTTAAGAAATTGTTTTCAAAATATTTTATTATTTTTATTTTATGTGTATGAGTGTTTTGCTTGCATTTCTGAAAGTGCACCCATGTTGTGCAGTACCCATGGAGGTCAGAAGAGGGTGTTGGATCCCCTAGGACTGATGTATGGTTGTTAGCTGCCATGTGGATACTGGGAACTGAACCCAGGTCCTCTTTAAGAACAACCCTTACCTGCTGAGCCATCTCTTTAGCCTGCTCCCCCTTTTTTTAGACAGGGTCTCACTACGTAGCTCTGGCTGGCCTGTAGACCAGGCTGGACTGGAACTCAGAGATCTACCTGCCTCTACTTGCTGAGTGCCCAGTGTCACACCTGGCTTTTTACATGGGTGCTGGGGATTTGAACTCGTCTTCATGCTTGTGCAGAGTACTTGTCCCACTGAGCTGTCTTCCCAGCCCTATTTCCTATTGCTTGGTAAATTATAAGTGTAGTGCCTTTAAACGACACTCGTTTATTTTCTTACAGTTCTGGAGGTTGGTAGTTCATCTGGCTGGCCTAAAAACAAGATGTCCACAGGTCTGCAGTCAGCCTGGCTGCCCAGATTCCTCAGTGGGCCTTTCAACCCTCTTGTTTCTCTCTTGAGATCTCTGACTCTTTTGCCCTGTCCCACAAGGAAGGAGCCCATCAGAAAGTCAGATCATTTCCCTGCCCCAAGACAAGATCCTTAAACATCTGCCAGGGCCCTTTTGCCGATTCTGGGCTAATGCAGATTCTGAGGATTTGAATGTGTGAACATCTTTTGGGGGGCTGTTGTTCTTAGTACCACAGGATCCCATCCAGCTTTTCCCACGCCTCTCAGCCTCTTTTGCTGATGGCCTTCCTTTCCCCATTCATCCACAGCAGGGGTTGACAACTTGCAGCTCAGGCAAAATCCAGCCTGTCGACTGCTGGAACACAGCCATGACACTTCATACATACGATGTATGTGTCTGCTTTTGTGCTCGAGCAGTGGCGTTGCCTAAGAGCAGATATAGCATGGCCTACGAAGGCGAAGACAGACTGACATCAAGCTCTCTAGTGTTTCTGTGCTGCCTGTGGTCTGCCCTTTGCTCTGGCCTCGTCACCTCGTGCTCAGGGCCATTTGTATCTCAGCACACAGTGCTGGCCTCTTTCCTACAGCCACACATGGCCCTCCGTTCACTGACCTCTGGTGACATGATGGACTGTTCCCAGTCTGGCCACACCACAGTGTGACTTTACTACAGTGTGAGTTTATAGGATGCATTCCTATGGGTGCTGTGACAAGCAAGCATGTGTTTTAAATGCCTTATGGCCAAGGTGGAGGCACCAAGTTAAACTTTCAACAACAATAAGGAAAGAGCTTGTGTGCCCATGTTTCTCACTAACCCAGGATGCCAGCAGGGTTTTTACCTTTGCCTTATAAATGGGCAGGGAGACACACACAGCCATTGTCATTAACCACAGTTCTGGGCTCATGGTTTGAACCTGGGGCTAACCCTGTGGCCGACACCAGCCACTCCAGGGTTCTTCAGCCTTCCAAAGCTGATTCCAGTATAAACGGCCAACCTTAAATGAGCATAGTGGCTGGAAATGGTGGCACACGCCTTTAGTTCATCACTTGGGAGGCAGAGGAAGGCAGATCTCTGTGAGATCAAGGCTAGGGAGTTCCAGGCCAGCTGGGGCTACAGGGAGACCTTGTCTCAAATAACCAAACATCAGGGGCTGGAGAGATGACTCTGGTTAAGAGCACTGGCTTGCTCTTGCAGAGGACCTGGATTCAGTTCCCAGCACCCACATAGTGGCTTTGGGTTCATAACTACAGTTCCAGGGGATCTGACACCCTCTTCTGACCTTCCAGGCATTCATTGCATGACACGGATGCACTTACACACATGTAAGCAATACTCTCATACACATATCCCCCCCAAAAAAATATTTTAAAAAACGCACCAAAAATCAAATCAAACAACAACCGGAACAACCAGAACAAATGACCATGGTGGTACATACCTGGAACCCCAGCATTTGGAAGGCAGAGACAAAAGGATGGAGGGTTTGGAGAGTCAGAAGCTAGCCTGGGCTACATAGTGAGTTCCAGGCTGTCATGGGCTCCATAGCAAGCAGGACCCAGTCTTTCACCCTGTTGGAGGGAAGTCCACATATAACAACCGATCTTAGAAATCCCACCTCTTTATTGATGGCGAGGGCTCTCTCTCTCCCCCTGGCCCTCCGACTGGTGGTGGCTGCGCTGATGAACCAGCAGGAGGCGTCTCTGGCCAAAGGCCTGGTCGCAGCTGGAGCATCGGTGCCGGTGCCGGCTGGTGGCCTGGCTGCTTGGCGCGGTGGGGGGTTCGTGACACAGGCGATGGGCGGCCAGTTTGGAGGGAAACGAGAAAGCTTTGGGGCAGTGTGGGCAAGGGTAGGGGCGGGCGTCGGTGGCGTGGTGCGTGTGGCGGTGGGTCGCCAGCTTGGAGGGGTAGCAGAAGGACTTGGGGCAGTCGGGGCACGGGTAGGGGCGTGCCGGCGCGTGGGTCCAGAGATGCGCCGCCAGCTTGGAGCGGTGGCCGAAGGCCTTAGGGCAGTGCGGGCAGGGGTGCGGGCGCGCTCCGCTGTGCGTGAGGCGGTGCGCCGCCAGCTTGGAGGGGTAGGAGAAGGCCTTGGGGCAGTCCGGGCATGGGTGCGGCCGGGTGCCGCCGTGCGCTAGCCGGTGCGTGGCCAGCTTGGAGGGGTACGAGAAGGCCTTGTCACAGTCGGGGCAGCGGTGCGGGCGCTGCGGCGGGGGCCGCCGGCGGGGCGGGGAAGTCGCTCTCCCGGAGGCGGGTGGCTGGTTCGGAGGCAGGGCCTGATGGGGAGCTGCGGGACGCGAGAGCAGGTGGGCTTCCGGGAAGAGGCACGCCCTCTCTCGCTCTCTCTCTTTGGAGAGAGGGGGAGACAGAGTCTCACTATGTAGCCCTGGCTGTCCTGGAGTTCACTATGTAGACCAGGCTGGCCTCAAACTCTTGGAGATCCAACCTCTTGGAGACCCGCCTGCCTCTATCTCCTGAACGCTGGTATTTATAGGCGGGCGCCCCAGGCTGGGCCATCTCTTAATTTTGGCGGGGCGTCTCACAGTATCTGAACAGGCAAGTGTCAAACACTGATTTCCCAGAAGGAATCGCATCTGCTTGCCCTCTGTCCCCACGCACAATCTTAAGGGTCCCCAGAGCTACTAAACTGTGCACTTCGAGTATCACCCTAAACCCAGGCGGGGCAGGGCTATGCAAAATCACCCTGTAATCCCAGATTACCCCCCCACACGCACACCAAGTGCCTTCTGTCATTTCCAGAGCTCTCAGGAAAAGGGCGGCCTAATCAGATGGGATAATTTCCCACAACCTGCTTGGGGACCGGGGTATCAAAGGGTCCTAATATTGGGTCTCCTCAGCTGTCACTGGGGGGGCGGGGGAACTGTGATCCGTACTCAGGAGTGGCTGCACTCACCTCCCTTTGTCACCAGGTCCTCGAAAGTGGGAGTAGGTTCTGCGTCCGCGTCCTCGGACTTCACACTTCGGTCCAGCATCTTGCTGGCAGAGGAACCTAGGGGCAGCAGGACAGGGGACCAGGATGACGTCCGGTGATTACAAGTTTATGCAGACAGGGGTGGAAGGCCTAAAGTCAGAAGAGATGGATCCGTGGTTAAGAGCTCTTGCTGTGTTTGCAGAGGACCTGGGTTTTGGTTCCCAGCACCCACGTGGCAGCTCACTACCGCCTGTTGACTCTAGTTCCAGGTGATCTGACGCCCCCATATGTGGGCACTGCACACACACGGTGCACATACATATATGCAGGTAAACTCTTACACACATAAAATAAAATGCCTTTAAAAATTTTTTAGAAATCAGAAGGTCAGTCTGTTTAGATTCAAGGTTTGGCAAGTGGGATCCTAGCCAGGAGAGGCAGCTAGCTAGAAGGTGGAGCCTAAGCGCATAGCGGGCGTGGCCATGCAAATCTAACCAGGAGATACTACTCTCTTTGCTTTTTTTTTCTTTGCTTTTAAACCCAGGACTAGAAGAATTGGTGAGGCTTCTGCAACCAGAACTCAGCCATTATTAGGAGAATGAGGGGCGAGGCCTATTTCCGAGTGGGCGGAACCCTAAACCCAGGATGGGCGGGGCTATACAAAATAGATCAAAGTCGGTGGCAGCTTCCCCCAAGCCCGGGGTCCGGCCTTCGGGCGCAGTGGGCGGACCCTCGGCCGCGCTGTCCCGGGGGAGGGGCCTCTGAGCGCATGGGCGGGATTTCGCGTGGAAGAGTGGCTTTACCGTCTCAGTCCATTGAAGCCATGTCCACCGTGCCCTTCTGGTCGCTACATCTCATCCCTGGCGTGGAACTGGCGACGAGGAGGATAGAGAGGGGAGATCTGGAGGAAAATGCGGCAGGACCATGTTGTCTGTAGCAATCCAGTCAGTCCACCCTTAGTGGACATTCCCCGGAGGGAGTTCCAAGCATCCATGCACCCCTCCAAAACCAGGGCATCCGGAGTCAAATCGACCCCTCCTCCGGGAGGTCCTGGCGCCCAGTCTACACTCTTTTTCAGGTGGACCAGGACCCCCCCTGCCCTCCTCACCTGCAGGACGGCCCCTCCCCGGGGGCGGCGCTCCGGAACCCTCCCTTCCCGGCTGACGCAGCTGCACCTCAGCAGCCCTCGGACCTACACTGCCCCGCGCGCGCTGGGAGACACGCGAGGGAAACGCGGAGAGAGGGTGCGCGGCGAGCCGCCAGGCCCAGCCTCACTTACATCCCCTCCTCTCTTGCGGGGCTGGAGGGGGGCATCGGCACGCATGCGCAGTCGTGGCTAGCAGAAGCTGCTTTAGGGGGCAGGCAAGATAGAATGGAAGGAAGGGGTGGATGCACCACCAGGCAGACAAGTTCTTGAGCAAATGCGAAGCCTCCCGGCCAAAGGACCCTAGGAAAGTGCGCGGCTGGACGTGGTGTCTAGATGGCTCACTAGAGTGTAGGTGCACTCCCGCCTTTTTTTGAGACCGGGTCTCATGAAGACCAGACTGGCTTCGAACTCTCTATGTATCTGAGGGTGGCCTTGACTCTTTATCTTCCAGCCTCCATCTCCCAAATGCTGAGATTAAAATTACATGGGGGTGGGGGCGCTGGAGAAATGGCTCGGCGATTAAGAGCACTGGCTGTTCTGGCAGATGACCCGGGTTCAATTCCCAGCACCCACATGGCAGTTAACACCTGTCCCTAACTCCAGTTCCAAGGGAATCCAGATGCCCTCTTCTGACCTTTGAATGACACGGGTGCACTTACATACATGCAGGCAATACACTCGTACACATAAAAGTAATAAATAAAATATATTTTAAAAACGACATCTATTTACTTATTTGTGTGTGTGCATGGGCACGCTTGTGCCACAGTGCGTGTGTGAAGAGCAGAGAACAAACTGCGGTGGTGGATTCTCTCCTTCCGTGGAAGACCGAACTCAGGTCGCCACACCTGGGGGCAAGTGCCTTTGCCCACAAGCTTTCGTTATGGATTCAGTACATCTTTCAGAAAAGTTTATGGATAGCCCGAGTTTAGCTTCTACAAGCGGTTTCCTTTGTAGAATCTGGTCTCTTAGCTGACCAGTGTTTACATAGCACCCTGCCCCTGCCCCTTCTCCCCTGGGTGACTAAGAAGTTGCAGGTCACACTCTGAAGCCAGTGCCACCTCCCTCCTCCCCTGGGTCCAGGAATGCCCAGACTTTATTCTGGTACCAGGCCCAGGGTGGCACCTGAGTTCTGCTCCACGGACAGTACAATTTCCTGTCCATATCACGATGTAGAGCCCATAAAAGTCTCCTGCATAGGAGTGTCTCCAGTCAAATACTCACAGATCTGGCCAGCCTTGGGAGCCACAGGAAATTATTTGATGGTGCCCAGTAACTGGTTTGCACCCGACTCTGCCACTTTCAAGGTGTGTGACCATGGGCAAGTCACTACATATTTCTGGGCCTCAGTGTCCTCATGTATCAAATAGAAGGTTCTAGGTATTAATTAAAAGAATCAATGTAAAGTGTTTACAAATTGCTTAGAGTATTCAATGTCTCCAATAATATTTTAAAGATTAGATTATTTTATTTTTATTTATGTGTATATCTGTGCACACTCTTGGAAATCTTGGATCTCCTGGAGCTGGAGTTACAGGTGGTTGTGAGTCACCAAATGTGGGTGGGTGCTGGGAACAGAACTTTGGGTCCTCTGGAAGAGCAGCAAAGCACTCAACCACTGAGCCATTTTTTACCAGCATCAAAATTTTTTTTTTACATATATTTGAGTGTTTGTATGTGTGTGTGTGTGTGTGTGTGTGTGTGTGTGTGTGTGTGTGTGCGCGCGCCTGTGGCATTTGTGTGTGGAGGTACAGGTCAGCTTGTGGGAGTACATTCTTTCCTTCCACCCTAGTAGGTTCTGGGGATCAAACTCAGGTCGTCAGGCTTGGAGGCAAGCACCCTTACCCACTGAGCTATCTTACAGGCTCAATATTTTTGGTTTTATTATGCATTAAATTGGGCTCCATGGGGTCAAGTTATCCCATGAAGAGCAAGGGAGCAGACCTCAAGATGGGAAGGACCCTGCTGTATCCGCTCAAGTGTTGCCCTGCCCCAGAGCCTGGCCTTCCTTCAGACTCTTGTGCATGCTGTAGTCAGTCCTACCCCAGGGCCTTTGCACAGTCTGCTCCTTCTTTCCCCAGAGCCTTTCTTCTATGTCTTTGCTTTCCTGGAGTCTCAGCTCAGATCTTAGCATAGCAGGAGGCTTCCCTGGCCACCCTCCTCTCCAGCCTCTGTTGTCACCTCCTCTTTATCACCATACACTGGCCTTCTAGAATGTATGTTTTGTTAAGATAGACAACTTACCTCTCCTGCTTATCTCCAGAATCAAGATCAGGGCTCCCCACACAACAAAACCTTGTTGAACAGATAACAACTCACAGCTTTCTGTGTGGAAAAGGATGCTGAGGAGAATGCAGGATGCAGGGTCAAAGGGCTTGGGAAGGACCCAAATTCAGTGACCAACTGGGGTAGGGGTTTAAACATGGGAAGTGGGGCTGGGGAGTGTCTCAGCGGTGGGGCTAGTAGAGCACTTTCCTAGAATGAAAGAGGCTCCAGGTCACACCCCAGCTCCTCCAAGGAAAGGAGCTAGTGGGTCAGATAAACACAGGAAATGTCAGCTGATTTAGGTTCCCACATCTTTGTCTTTACTTAATTATTTTACATTTACATATTCTGGAGGTGGGCATGTGCATGTTAAACACATGGAAATCAGAGGACAATGTTTGGCAGTCTGCTCTCTCGTTTCTACCATGTGGGTTCTAGGGATCGAACTCAGGACATCAGGCTTGGCCGCAAGCCCAAGGAGCACAAATGTCCTACCCATTGAACCACCTTGCTCCCACCTTTAAATTTTTATTTATTTATTTATTATATTTATTTATATTTTATGTATATGAGTGTTTTGCCTGTAGCCATGTATACTCATGTCATGCAATGACCATGGAGGCCAGGAGAGGGTGTCGGATCCCCTGAAACTGGAGTTATGGATGGTTATTAGCTGCCATGTGGGAACCAAACCTAGGTCTTCTGCATGAGACCAGTCAGTGCTCTTAACCTCTGAGTCATCTCTGCAGCACCCAACCTAACCTCAGTAGGATCTCGTAGCCCAGGCTGGCCCCAAATTTGGTATATACCCGAAGATGATCTTTAACTTCTACCTCTTCTGCCTTACCTCCTAAGTGCTGGGATCACAGGTGTGTACCACCAGAAAGGTTTGTGTGGTGCTGGGGGGGGAGGGGCAGGATCAGGACCTCCAACATACTTAAGAAAGCAAGCACTCTACCAACCGAGTTACACCTCTAACCCCGCTTCGTATGTGACTGATTCTTGCTATGATTTTGAATTTACCTCTACCTCCTGAACTCTGGGATTACAGGGCGGCTGTAATCACCCAGGTGCCCTCTTTTGAATCCCCTGGATTACTCTGTAGCAAATGCCACACATTACACTTAGAAACATACACAAAATTAATGTATATATACATATATATGTATTTAAAGAGAGAATGAGGGGCTAGAGAGATGGTTTAGCAGTTAAGTGCATCTTGCAGAGGACTAAGTTTTGGTTTCCAGAGCTCAGAGGCTGCCTAACAACCATCTGGTAATTCCAGTTCCAGGGGATCCAATGCACTCTTCTGGAAATGCATACACGCCATACACTTATACGCATGCAGGCAAAACACTCATACACATTAATGTCTTTTTTCAAAATCCAGAGACTAAAGAGGTGGCTCGGCAGTTAAGGGCACTTGCTGCTCTTGCAGAAGACTCAGGTTCAATTCCCAGCATTCAGGTTGGATGGCTCACAACTGCCCGTAAACTCCAGCTCCAGGGGATCTGACAAAGGCCTCTCTGGCCTTTGCTGGCATTGCATGCTTGTGGTGTACATACATACATGGAGGCACTCATAGACATAAAATATAAATAAATAAATCTATAAAAATTAAATTAAATAACTCCTCAAAATCCAACAATTGTTGGAAAGAACTCTTTTTTTAAAAAAATATTTTATTATTTTTATTTTATGTGTGTATGCATGTATCACCTGCATGTAGGTAAGTGCACCTGTGTCATACAATGCCCATGGAGGACAGAAGAGAAAAGGCTGTCAGATCACCTGGAACTGGAGTTACAGACAGTTGTTAGCTACCATATGGGTGCTGGGATTCGAATCCGGGTCTTCTGCAAGAACAACCAGTGTTCTTAGCCACTGAGCCATCTCTCCAGCCCCAGGAAGATTATTTTCAACTTTAGTTTACAGAAGAGGATCTGAAACCCAGTAAAAGATGTTTTTAGCCCCAAGTCACAGAGCCAGTCAGCTGAGATGAAGTCAAAGTTTCTAGTTCTTTGGACCATCTCACAGTTTAGTGTGACAAACGAACAAACACCAGGGTGTCTTTCAATAGACAGGTAAGTAATTTGGAAATGGTGTAGAAAAATAAGTGGGCTGGGGGCGGTGCTTGCCTAGAATGCACTAATGAAGGGCTGGGGGCATGGCTCAATGGTAGAGCCCCTGCCTAGAATCTCCCAGTGAGGGGCTGGGGGCATAGCTCAGGAATAGAGCTTGGTGGAGCATTTATCTATCTTGCACAGGCCAGGGGTACCCTATGGGGGCAGGGATCAAAAGTCCTGTCAGAACAATAGGGAAGGACATCAAGGATGAGGAGATCTTGTATGGTTCGCTCTTCAGCAGTGTCTAAGGGTCCCTGTTTCCTGGCTTCCCCACTGTTTCTCTCTCCAACTTGGCTAAAAACTCTTCTCTGGATCCTAGCTTCTTCAAGCTTGGACCCCATGAGTGCCTGGAAGAATGAGCAAAATGCTCCGTGTCTCCCCTTGTGTTTCTTCTTGTCTCTCTCCACACATTGCTTCCTGCTCTGATCTCCTGTCTCCCCATCCTCACAATCTTCTGAATCAGTTTTGTTTTACTTAAAAATATTTTTATTATTTTATTTTATGCATATAAGTGTATTGCCTCTATGTATGTAAGTGCACTTGTGTTGTGCATTGCCCAAGGAGGTCAGAAAAGGTAATTGGATCCTCAGGTGGTTATTAGCTGCCATGTGGGTGCTGGGAATTGAACCTGGGTCGTCTGCAAGGACAGCCAGTGCTCTTAACTGCTGAGCCATTTATTTTTATTTTATGTGAATGTTTGCCTGCATGTATGTCTATAGACCATGTGTGTGCTTGGTGCCTGCAGAAGCCAGAAGAGGGAGTCGGATTCCTTGGAACTGGAGTTATGGACAGTTGTGAGCCCCCATGTGGGTGCTGGGAACTGAACTCAGGTCCTTTGCAAGAGCAACAAGTTCTTTTAACAGCTGAGCCATCTCCCCAGCTCCTGTTTGTTTTGTTTTTGAGACAGTCTCACTCGGTAGCTCAGGCTTCGAACCCATGGCACACGTCCTGCCTCAGACTCTCAATTGCTGGGATTACAGCTACCATGCTGTAATCCCTGTTCTCTATGTGTCTCCCGATAGCCTTTGGCTCCCCTCTTCTTTTGTTCATTTTCTTTTTAAATTACATTTTGTTTATTTATTTGGAGGAGGGAGGGAAATACATGGAGGGTTGAGGACAATTTGCCTAAGTTGGTTCTCTCGTCTCACCGTGTGGGTCCCAGAAATCAAACTCAAGTCAACAGGTTTTGAAGTAAGTGGTGCCTTTACCCACTCACCCATGCTATTCTCCCTCTTGGTATTTTGAAACTGGGATTTTGTAGCCCAGGCTGGCCTTGAACTCCCTAGGTAGCTGAGAATGACTTTGAACTCCTGATTCTCCTGCCTCCGCTTCCCAAATGCTGTGATTACAGGTGTGTGCCACCACACCCAGCTAGGTTTTATTCTTCTCAAGACCTTCCACATATACACATACATACATATCCATATTTTCTGTTATATCTTGCAAGCTCAGAGTGGGGATGTTTGTTCTTCTGTTGAGGTGAGAGCCTCTAAAAACAGTCTTTGTTCACTTACATCAAGGATCCAGAGCTAGTTGAGTGTTGTGATGCCTAAAGACTTGAATGGGAGAGGAAGAGGGAAACCAAAGGCTATTAGGGAGGACATACAGAGGAACAGGGACCTGAGTTTGAGGTCTGGAACCTATGTGAAGGTGCGAACCGACTCCACAAAGCTGTTCTCTAAGCTGCACAGACACACATAATAATTTTAAAAAATTAAAAAAAAATTATTTATTTTTATGTATGAGTGTATTGCCTGCATGATGTTATTCAAAGATCAGAAGAGTGCATCAGGATTCCCTGGATCTGGAGGTACAGGTGGTTGTTTGCCACCATGTGGGTGCTGGGATTCAAACCTGGGTCTTGTGCAAAAGCAGTCAGTGCTCATAACTGAGCCATCTCTTCAGCCCACAAACAAACAAATAAATAAAAATTAAACAAACAAACAAATACATACAATTTTTGTTGGAAGGCTGAGGCAGGAGGATTGCCAGAATTCCCCACCAGCCTGTGGTATAAGGCAACATTTTGTCTCAAAACCAAAGGTAAAACAAGGAAAAGAAACCCCTGAAAATGAACATTAGGAAAATTAAGACTAATATCCAGGCACCCACCCAACAGTTCCTCCAAACCTAGTGGCCTTCAATTTCGATTTTTTCCTTCTTTGTCAGGATGACTATGCGACCACGTGTTTTCCTGCAAAACTCCCCATGTCTGAGCGCCTGGCGGATCTCCATTTCTCTCCTAGTCTGTTTCTGCACCAGTACCTCTGAGTACCTTCTTGAGGCCTGGCCTTCAGAGTGTCCCTGCGTGGCTCGCTGTCTTGCTGGGTGTCTGCCATCTCCGGGTGGTCCCCAGCCCTACGCCCGCGGCCCCTTTAAGGCAGGCCCCGCCCCGTCCCGCCCTCCCGGGTCAGCCGGGGTGCGTCCGGCAGTGGCGGGCACCCGGCCTGGGCTCAGTGTGGACCGGGCCACCAGCGCGATGGCAACCTCGGCCCTCAGGGTCGCCGCGCGGCGGCTGAGCCAACGCAGCGGGACTCGAGCCCCGGTCCTCCTGCGGCAGGTGCGAGGCGGTGCCCGGGAAGCCGGCCCCGGGCCCCAGGCGGCGGGAGGGACGGGCGGAGCTCCCCTGTCCTCTAAAGGACATCCGGGGGGTCCTGCACCCCTGGTATTGAAGAATGGACTCCAGAGCCTTTAAAGGGGAGTGACCTGGGGGGATCCTGGGCTTCGCCCTGAACTCCTGGGTCCATTACCAAAGAAGGTGCGGGGATCCGGATTTGGAGGACGTTAGCAAGATGGAATTCCTTAGGTCTAGTAGAGGGAGGTTGGGGACCCCGGAACTCCTGACTCCGGAGCAAAGAGGGGTTAGGGGTTGCAGCTTCAGGATCCTAGGAAGAGGATGGCTTGGAGGGCTGGACACTTGGGTCCCCAAGGAATGGGAGTCAGGCCCGGGAACTTTCCCCGGTGCTCCACCCTTCCCAGATGTTTGAGCCCAAGAGCTGCACCTACACGTACCTGCTGGGTGACAGGGAGTCCCGCGAAGCCATTCTGATCGACCCGGTTCTGGAGACAGCACATCGGGATGCCCAGCTGATTAAAGAACTGGGGCTGCGGCTGCTGTACGCTGGTTAGTCTGGGGACCAAACTTGGGTGTGAGAGAGGTCGGGCCATGGAAAAACTGCACTGGGAAACCGGGGGCCAGGTCCCCTTGTCTGAGGGAGGAGGGCTGGTCCTGGTCCCCTGTGTCTGAGGGAGGAGGGCTGGGTCTGGATCCCTAGGTCTGAGGGAGGAGGGCTGGGGTCTGGACCCCTGGGTCTTGGGGAGGAGGGCTGGGCCTGGTCCCCTGTGTCTGAGGGAGGAGGGCTGGGCCTGGTCCCCTGTGTCTGAGGGAGGAGGGCTGGGCCTGGTCCCCTGTGTCTGAGGGAGGAGGGCTGGGTCTGGACCCCTGGGTCTTGGGGAGGAGGGCTGGGAGGCTGAGGATGCTCAGTCTTCCCCACTGTCCTCTCTCCCAGTGAATACTCACTGCCATGCTGACCACATCACGGGCTCAGGGGTGCTCCGGTCCCTACTCCCCGGCTGCCAGTCTGTCATCTCCCGCCTCAGCGGGGCCCAGGCTGATTTGCACATTGAGGAAGGTGATTCCATCCGCTTTGGTCGCTTTGTGAGTTGGATGTTGGGTGTCTCGGAAGAGGGTGGTGGCCTGGATTCCTTGGACTTTTAAGGGAAGAGGGTACTGGGGTCTGGGCTGTTGAACTTGGGGGGGAAGAGGGGTCAGTGGATGTAGACTCTGACTCTTCAGCTCAGTTCTCTGGGAGGAGGGCACCATAAACCAGATGGGGAACTGGGGCAGGAGGCTCTAGGCAGGCACAACTCTGGCCATTCCCTCTAAGTCAACAGCTCTGGAGTTTCCTAAGGCCTTAGGTCAATTCTTTGGGCCTGGCATTGCCATAAAAGTTGATTGGGGCTGGAATTCCTATGCCAGGGCTGAGGGAAACACTTAGTCCTGTCTTCTGAGGAGCACCCTTTTGCCCAGTAACAGGACTGGGGTGAGTCCAGTCAGGGTTAACATTTAAGGTGGCCTTCAGTGGCATGGTGGTATAAATGCAGGGTCAACCACCTATGAGTGGGTTCCTCCTTAAATGTTGGTCTTGGACCCTCACCTTAGTCCCAGCCCTGTTGCCTCACCCAGGAAAGGTCTGAAGGTTCTTCCTTTTCTTTCACTACTGCTGACCTAATCAGCAGGTTTCCTGGCAGCTTTGCAACCCAGGGCACTATGGACAGGGTGGGGATGGGGGAGGCGTTGTACAGAGGGAGGAAACAGGTGATCAGAATTGCCAAAGTTGTAGTCTGGCTGACGTTGGGGACAGAATGTCTAGTGACATGGTGAGGTCTCTGCCTCTGGGTTTTGCTAAATGGGGACAGTTTATTTAGACAAGAGCTCTCACTGGAAATGAGGTTTGTGTGTTGGGTTCAGAGGGTTTGGCTGCAGTGGTTACAGATTCTTATTTCAGCCTTGGGAAACAGGTGGAAGATACATTGTACATTTTTATGTCTGTTATCCCAGTAGTCAGATGCTAACCAGGCTTTCTTGGATGAAAAGAGCCTTAGAAGGATTAGAATTAGGGTTCGTGTTAAAGGAGTCTTTAAAATAGGTGTGGTGGTACCTGCCTCTAACCCTGGTACTGGGAGATAGAGGTAGGAAAATCAAAAGTTCAAGATTACCCTCAACTACATATCAAGTTTGAGGCCAGTCTGGGTTACATGTGACCCTGTCTTAAAAACTTCTGAAAATGGCTGGAGAGATGGTTCAATGGTTCAGCACACTGGCTGCTCTTGCAGAAGACCAGGTTCAGTTCCTAGCACCAAAATGACGGCTAACAACCATCTGTAACTCCAGTTCCAGGGGATTTGATGCCCTCTTCTGACATCCATGGGCACTGTGTGACACTGGTGCCCTTACATACATGTAAGGCAATAGCTCATACACATAAATAAAAATAATAAATAAAATATTTTAAAAACTTTAAAGCTGGCGTGGTGGCACATGCCTTTGATTCCCGTTTTTGGATCAGGGACAGGGGAAGCTCTGAGTTTGAGGCCAGTGTGGTCTATACAGTGAGTTCCAGGCCAGCCAGGGCTACATAGTGGGACTCTGACTCAAACAGACAGACATAGTGGGACTCTGTCTCAAACAGACAGACATAGTGAGACTCTGACTCAAACAGACAGACATAGTGAGACTCTGACTCAAACAGACAGACATAGTGGGACTCTGACTCAAACAGACAGACATAGTGGGACTCTGTCTCAAACAAACAAATAGGCAGACAAACAAACAAACTAACTAAATAAATAAAAAAAACCCTGAAACCAAACAAAATTAAAAAAGAAAAGCCACATGTGGTGGCTCACACCTTTAATCCCAGCACTTGTGAGGTAGAGGCAGATGGATCTTTGTGAGTTCAAGGCCAGCCTGGTCTACATAGTGAGTTCTAGGCCAGCTAGGACTGCGGGGAGACCCTGTCTCAAAAAGACCAGAAAAAAAAGTCCTTCTTTAAATTAAGCAATACTGAATATTGTCAGCGAGTCGGTGTGGCTTAGCTGTGGAACTAACAACTCAATTTTTTTATGACGTTTTAGTGATATAATCCATACTGCTTTATGATTCACCACTTGAAGGATGCAATTCAATGACGCATAGTATATTCAGAGTGCTGAGTTCATCGTTGCAAGTAATTTTAGGATATTTTCACTGTTCCCCAAAGAAGCCTCATACCACATAGCCATCACCCCAGCCTCTCCTTTTTCCTTCTCACAACCTTAGGGAAATTTACTTATTTATTTACTTATTCATTAGTTTTTATTTTATTATGAGGTAAGATACTGCTATGTAGCCCAGGCTGGCCTTGAACTTACCACCCTTCTGCTTCAGCCCATCAGTTGCTAAGATTGCCTATACTACCACACCCAGCCTTTAGGCAACTTCTTTCCCTCCAGTACTAGGGACAGACACCAGGGTGTGATCTATGCTAGACAGATGCTCTACCACTAAGCCACACCTCAGCACTGGGGGATTCTAGGCAGGTGCTTACCACTGAGCAACACCACAGCCACCCATTGGGGGATTCTAGGCAGAGGCTCTACCACTGAGCCATGCCCCCAGCCTCTCACTGGGGGATTCTAGGCAGATGCTGTACCACTGAGCCACACCTCAGCCCCTCACTGGGGGATTTGGGGGATTCTAGGCAGATGCTTTACCACTGAGCCACCCCCCAGCCCCTCACTGGGGGATTCTAGGCAGGGGCTCTACCAGTGAGCCACCCCCCAGCCTCTCACTGGGGGATTCTAGGCAGATGCTGTACCACTGAGCCACACCTCAGCCCCTCACTGGGGGATTTGGGGGATTCTAGGCAGATGCTTTACCACTGAGCCACACCCCAGCCCCTCACTGGGGGATTCTAGGCAGGTGCTCTACCAGTGAGCCACACCCCAGCCTCTCACTGGGGGATTCTAGGCAGGTGCTCTACCTCTGAGCCACACGCCCAGCCCCTCACTGGGGGATTCTAGGCAGGGCCTCTACCACTGAGCCACACCTCCAACATTTTTTATTTTGAGATAAGTTAGTAAGCTGTCCAAGTTGATCTTAAACTTACTCTGCAGCCCAGGCAGGTCTTGAACTTGCAATCCTCTTCCCTCAGCCTCCCTAGTTACTGAGATTAAAGGCACCTGTGCTGCCACACCAGGCCTTTACGTAACTTCTATCCTGTTTCACTCTACTTTCTGCCTGTATGGATGTACCTGCTCTGGATATTTCATAGAAATGGAATCATGCAACATGTGATCTTTCATGCTGATTCCTTTCCCTGAGGATTCATCCATGTAGTATGCCCAAGTATTTAATTTCTCTTTATTTTGAACAATATTCCACTGTGGAATGATAGAAGGATCTATCACGTTTTATTTATTCATTAATCAATTGATCGACATTTGAACTGTTTCCTCCCTGGAGACTATTATGGTTTATTTTAATTTTATTTTTCAGACAAGGTTTCTCTGTAGCCCAGCTGGCCTGGAACTACGTAGACCAGGTTGGCCTTGAATTCACAGAGATCTGCCTGCCTTTGCCTCCCGAGTGCTTGGTATTAAAGGTGTACGCCACCACGCCCTCTTGAAGCTATTATGGATGATGCTACTATGAATAGTCTTGTACAAGTTTCCTATGGATAGATGTGTGTTATAGTCCCACTAGCAATGTATAAAGGTTCTAGTTCCTCTACAGTGGTGTTAACACTTATTATTGTCAGTCTTTGTGGTTATTTATTGTGGGTTTGGCTTTTGTCTAAATAACTCTTCTGCCGCCTTCTCCTCCTCCTCTTCCTCCTCTTCCTCCTCCTTCTCCTCCCTCTTTCTCTTTACATAGGGTCTTGCTTTGTAGCCCAGGCTAGTCTAGAACTTGCAGTCCTCCTACAACAACCTCCTAAGTGCAGGAATTATAGGCATTTGTCACTATGCTTGGCTTTGTGTGAATTTCTTACAAATCTTTGGAGCTGGGCCTCCGTTTCCTCCCTCTTGTGTTTCCTGACCCCTTTAAAAGTTGAGCTATAGCTGGGCGTGGTGGTGCAAGTCAGTAATCCCAGCACTTGGAAGATGGAGGCAGGAGGATCAGGAGTTCAGGGTCAGCCTCAGCTATACAATAAGTTCAAGGTCAGCCTGGGCTTAATGAGAACGTGTCTCAGAATGGAGAGGTGGCTCAGGGTAGGTTCAATCCCAGAATCCACATGGTAGAAGGAGAGAACTGACTCTTGCAAGTTGTCCTCTGACCTCTACACATGGGTTATGGAAGGCATGCTCCCTTCACAATGATACTAAATAAGAATATAAAAAATAGTTTAAAAATAAGACATGAAGCTGGGTGTGGTGGCGCACACCTTTAATCCCAGCACTCGGGAGGCAGAGGCAGGCAGATCTCTGTGAGTTCAAGGCCAGCCTGGTCTACATAATGAGTTCCAGGACAGCTGGGGCTACAGGGAGACCTTGTCTCAAAAAGACCGAAAAAAAAAAAAAAAGACATGAGACCCTGTCTCGAAATACAATAAAAAAAAGCTGAATTACAATATACATATAATAAGGTAAAAGGTGCACATATTATATCTGTGTTACTTGGCATATTTTTACATGTTTCCAGTTGGGACTGTACACCCATATCCCCACACAGGACACCCTCATCACCCCAAAGGCTTCTCTGTTGCTCTTTCTGGCCACTGACACCTCTGTCAGGGGACCATCTGGGCTTACATAATCACAGTTTCATTTGTTACTCAATGTTGTAAAGACATTGGTTGGTGATGCAAGTCTGTATTCCTAGTTCATGGGAGGCACAAGGATCTTGAGTTTAAGGCTAGCCTGGACTATGTAGCAAGTGCCAGGCCAGCCTGGGCTACAGAGTGAGATTATACAAAACTAAACAAAGAATAAGCATTCTGGAGTGTGTGCCCTAGTGTCTGACTTCCTTCATTATACTTGTTATTTGCAGTGGTAATTCATTCTTTCTTTCTCATGGTTTATGGTCAGGGTTGACAAGCTTTTTCTGTAAAAGGCTAGATAATAAAGACTTTCACCTTTAGAGGCTACAGAGTGTTTGTTCTAATGGCTCTGCTCTCT